CTTACTTCTGCATGAACCTACATAGGTTTGTAACAAATTTGCATGATATCAGCCTATGGACTTTATTGTTAGCCTGCAAACAACATCTACTTTGAAGGTGTAGCTGAGGCCTGGAAGAGTTTGGCTTGGGTTGAGAAGACGCTGTGTTCTGTGCTGCAAAAGCAAATTGCATTTTGCATTGCATTTTTGGAATGAAACCACAGCAGTTTAACTGAAATTCAGATATGGAAATAGCGTTTCGTTTTCGACACACTGTAAGCTGTAGACCAATCACAACAGACTGGGCCATCTGACCCATTAGAGCAGAGGAAGCTCTCAGAAAAAAGGGGTTAAGAGAGACGGAATCCTTGATCAAACCGTTTCAGATACTGTGAGAAAAGAGGTAATGCTGCAATGTACATTATGAGAAAATGAAAGTGTTTTTTGACCTTGGAAGCATGTAAACCTATTGTAGTCTTTAAAATAGCATAATAGGGGCACTTTAAATAAGTTATTTTCATATACTACAGTACCTGTGTTGAGATGTGATGAAATATTAGTAAAGATTATACAAACATTATCCCACTACAATGTCTCATAATGTACTTCATAATGCCAAAGCAATCTTAAAGGGATAGTTCACACAAAAATGTCTGGGTGGAGAATGATAAACTACCACAAACCTTTCACTGTTTATATATTTTCTGATGCTAATTTTTGTAGGTAGTTGTAGGTGTGTATTTGTGAGCGTACTGAGAGAAGTGCAGCGGCAGGGATCATGTTTGTCGAGATAGTGCTCCAGGGTGTCCCATCCTCCGCCCACTCGCACCATAACATGATTCCTCAAAATCTAGACACACACACACACACACATTAATAAAAAATGTATGAGCATGTTCATGTCTCATGTTGTCATATCAACAAAACATACTTTTCCATTTATGTTCAACAAAGCTACTGAGACGGTAAAATGCATATTTTAATGACTATGATAGATCAACATTTTCCAGCATAGACAGGCAGTAATACGAGTACTGCTTAGAAAAATGCTAAATTAACAGAAAGAAAAAAAAACAAGCTTTTATATACCCGAACAAATATGAGAGTGTAGGAGTCTCCAACCCTGTATTTGCCCTCTGATACCTTCACCATGGGGAACTGGGATGGACAAGTGCATCGGCTTATCAGAAACTGGACCTGCACACACACACAAACACAAAAATGTTATTGTATTCTAAGCAGATGTAACATGCCACTTTGAAAGCCTTCATAAATCAGAAAGGAGAGGACCCACAAATCAAAATGACAGGCTAATCCAAAGTTCTCCTCTTTTCCTATCATGCAAATCATTTTAAATGCTAAAAAGAGGCATGAATCTTATAGGTACAGATGGATGTTCAGCTTTGACCCTTTGGGTGTCCTAGTTTCCAAGGCATCCTCTTGAATGCCACATCAGTTGGATAACTGTGGTGTTCGTGCTACAGGTGGTGTAGTGGTTAAAGCCTAAAGCTGGTAACTAGAAGGTTGGTGGTTCAATCACTGGAAGGAGCAAGCCATGAGCTGGCAACATTACAAAGCACTTAATTACAGATTGCTTGTGCTTGCATTAAGTCTACTTAGTCGCTTTAGATTCAAGTATCTGATAATTGACTGATTATGTCAATAATGTTCATTAGTGATGATTAGACATCAATGGTGAAAAAAATAAGACATTATATCTTTAATACGGAAAATTTTAGGACCACTGACTTTTTATTTTTTATAATTTAGCACATTTCCCCCTTTAAATTCTCATTAATGTAATGAAAAATTATAAAAAAGTAAAAATAATTCTGTCTGGACAACTTTTTTTTAATTAAAAAAAATTATTTACAATTTATATAATAAATAGTTTTTATGCTCTGCTCTAACTTTTATGCTGTGCTCAATTGTTGTCAAACATGTTACAATGCAAAAATATTAAAGTTGCTATTTTTCTTTTCATTATGCAGTTTTTCATTTCATTTGAATTTGCAGTGGAATACGAAATAAGTTCTTGACAGGTTTCGTGAGATTCACCTAAAGGGATTATTCAAAGACTGCAATGAATGTCATTTTAATCCACATTTTATGCAAAAATTGCTTCATTTAGATTCTATTCTTAATTAAAATCCAATGCCCTCAGCACATCAGTAAACATGAATTTGATCTTTGATGCAGCACCATCTCATCCAGGTCCTGGATGTTTATCAAGCGCCTCTGTGGTTTGGGCTGAGCAGGCAAGTCCTCCATCTCCTCACGAATCTCCTCCTCGATCTCCTGCTCCAGCTGAATGAGGACTGGTGAAGCCATGCCGAAACGAGAGGCCCGTCTGGCCACCTCAAGAAGGCACAGCACAAAATTCTTCTCATTCTTACGCAGGACAAGGTCATCTGTCTCGAACATCAGTACGTCTGCAGAGGGGGTAGAGTTTAAGATGGTAACAGAAAACAGAACTGGAACTATAAGAATTTGGTTTTGTGTCTTTGTCTGGAGACACAAAACAATGTCTTTGCTGCTGACCTTCAATTATTCAATTAAACCATACCATTAAGCAAAAACGACTTGTTAAACATATATATATATATAGATATAGATATAGATAGATAGATAGATAGATAGATAGATAGATAGATAGATATTTATAAATAAAGCAAGTGTGTTGAAATTTCTTCTCCTACATCCTATTCTTCTGCTATCCAGAATGGCAGCACAGCTTATTTTTTTTTATTTTTTTTACTGTACATGTGTGAATTTGCATTTCACTGTGAAAGGAAATTCCTTTACGTTTTCCAAAAATATAACTTTTATTTGTTTGTTTGTTTGTTTTTAATAAGAAACAAACGAGCATGCCCAGCCCAGCCAAGAACACATTACTTTCCATAAAAATTAACTAAGGCCCAAAAAATTTAAAAAAAATTAACTAAGGCCCAAAAAATTACAAACAGCCCAACACTTGACAAGCTTCGCGACTATTGTGAGCTCACAGCACTATCTAGAGGTAAGTGTCTGAATTACAAACAAGTGATTTTCTGTCAAGCGGTTTTTATGTGATAAAGTGCTAATTCTTAATTCGACAAATATAAAACGTCACATATACATGTAAAATAATAAAAACGTACCTGGAATGCTCATCTCTTTTCGACACCAGTTGATGAAATTCGTCACATTATCCCGGGCCAGGAATGTTGTTGGATGTGCAGAGCTGACGAAAGTGACTCCAGAAGCGGGTAAAGTTAGTTGGATCTCAGTGGTTCCGCTCTTCTTCAGAAACTCATCCGCCACTCGTGTCACGTTATTAGCGTGAGCACACAGAAGCGCACCTGTTTCCAACACCTCCAAAATATTATTTACGTCAATACCCATGTTGTATAAATCTCCCAGCCATTCTGCCAGGTCTTCTTTCATGGCATAGAGATATTCCTCGCCGGATTTGAAAGGCTTGATGCTTTGATTGGACGCATGCTGAATTCCAGACATGGCTTGGATTTAATCAAATCAATTTAATAGACTCAAAAACACATCTAATAATCCAGTATTGTAAGGGGAAAAATAAGACTCGCATAAAAAATACGGTCGCATTAGCAGCATGACAACGAAACAGTATAAAAGTTTAAACTCTAAGATTCATTGACTCCAAACACATATTTTCTGTCCTAAACTTAGTGTAAATATAAGTGCATGAAATGAAACGTTGTGCAGTATGTGTTGCAAAGTTTCAACGCTTTTTTAATGTTGTCAGGGTGTGTGAGCGCGGTATCGTCGTCCTTGGTTACCAGATAGCGTCTTAATCCAAACACTCCAGTTAACCATTTACTGCCCATAAACTCAACTCCTTACGGCAAACACATTAATAATAAACACCAAAGTACTGAGGAATATTATAACAATAACGTAAATATTTTTTAAACAATCCCTAAGTGTTACTTAGTTTAAAGTCAACATGAAATCAAAAGTAACAATTATTTTTATATGGAATACTGCAGCATTTATAATAAATGATTTATTCGTGCACATCATCATTATTATTTTTTTAATAATAATATCATAATCTTTAATACCAAAATTTCAAAATAACTTCCCCTCCCTCTTCTCTGATGACGTTTTACTGGCGCTAGGGCAGGACAACCTGTCACTCACATCATGACATCACAGCAATAGCAAATCACAACCATCAAATCAATTCCTGATGGACAAAATCAAGTCCCGCCCTACATTTCTACTTGTTCGAGAAGCCGTTTCACTTGGATATATGTCCCAGTAGGGAAGAAAAAACTTTCGCAACTTCTGTTTCATGCCAACTTGGGATAAACTACCTTTAGCATTGTGAGATAAAACTGCAAAAGGGTAGTTTTTACAGTTTATAAACCCATTTCCAACATTAAGAGTAGAATAGGTTAAAGGGTTAGATTACCCAAAAATATGTAGGCCTATTTATTCACCCTCATGTCGTTCCAAACCCGTAAGACTTTCATTCATCTTCGGAACACAAATGTCTTTTAAATGAAATCTGAGCGATTCAGATTCAACCATTCATAACGACACATATTTTCACACATATGTACTCAATTAAATCTCAAATTAGGTCTTAAAAAATTATATTAATTATTACTAAAAACTATAGAAGAATGTTAGTAGTTTTCATTGAATGAACTATCACTGAAAAATGCAGATGTAAAAAAATAAACGATGACATGCTAAACAAATGATGCAAATGTAACAAGGAAAAAAGAGTTTAAAGAGAAAAAGTTGTTTTTAAGGAAACGTAATTGCCTTTAATAATATTTTGGTTGTGAAAATAAAATACAGCTTGTAGCAGTTCATATTTATACATTTCATTGAAATGAACTTATAACATTTTTGTTCATCAAATTAAATTTGTGCATTAAGTGCTTTGAAACAATAAATAAGGATTCATTTTTTAATCTAGTATAGTCCATGATCATTCATGTTACTGAGAAATATTGCTTAAAATAAGCTCGTTGTGTTGTGTTAGTTACAAACCACTAATTTTCTTTATTTTTCTTCTTCTTTCCTGAATATTCTCGCCTTCTCTTTCTATACTGACCACCACCTCCTCCCTCACTGCGGCCAGTGAAGCTGGGCATCGGTGGCTCAATCTCTCCTGGACGTCCCCCTCTGTCTGGGACACTGCCCATTAGTACCTGCAGAAACAAATGTTTTGCATAAATTGTTCTTAAAGTACAAGTTCGCAGATTTTCAACCAGCTTTGTTTTGATACAATGTCGGAAGTATATGTAAATGAACAATGTTTACTCTCTCTGCGTCTGACCTGGACAGAGAAATTCATGTTTATTTGTCAGCAAGAGTCCGTCGGATGACACAACATGCATAATTCAACGGACTTTTGACAGCTCCAGAGCTTTTGTGAAAACTACAGATTGTACTTTTGCATTTTCGTATCCCTGGCCACGGACAGTCGGATTGACAGAGGCTTACTAACCGGGCTTGACATTCACTTTTTTGCTCAGCAGCCACTGTGGCTAATGGTTTTCTGAAGTTACTAGCCACTAAGCATTTTCACTGGCCACAATTTCGACATTGATACCATCGGAAAAAACTGCCATTTAGATATTATTAACGTATCATAATTTGGCAGAAGGTATATTAAGCTGCTGTCACTTTAAGACCTGACGCATATGTTCATATCTGTTTTCTTTTCTTTCTCGACTGTTTACGTTCAATTAAAACATAACTGACTGTGTTTACATGAATACTCGCCAAGACTGGCATTTTGACATTATGATGTGTGTATTTGACGGTTTAAGTGCAATAAGCAGCGAAACATAACTCAATTTACTTCTGAGAGGCGGCTTTACGTGTGTGCACTTTGGGTGCGAGGACAAAATTAAAATTATGCGCAATCCCATGGCGAAATTCAAGCCCTGTAATAGAAACAATATTCATCCGGAGCCTTTTTTAAAAGACTACAATTGAAAAATATCTATATTTAAATTAAACCTGCCAAAGTGGCTAGGAGGAGTGACTGCGTTACATGACACTGCTAAAATCCAGCCACAGTTGGTGGGTGTTAATGTCAAGTCCTGGTTATTAACAAAACCGAAATGGTAAGTGTAGTGTGTCACTGAAAATTTTATTGTACTTCATCTACTCTTTAAACAGCATTATGGTAAAAATACTATGTCTACAGGCTTCTGTGCCGAATTTTGACTACTTGATTGCCTAATCCTAACCACACCACACATCTAATCCTAAACGTAACCATACTGGGAAGTTACACCAGTACGTGACGGCGTTTTGCTTCGCTGTTGGACAGAAGGTACTCCCCGTTCATTTTCTTCCTAATTAACTGACGAAATGGCAGTTTCTGTCAGTTTTTTTCCTTTGGCCTAGAACTCTGTTTTCGTAGTCATCCAGTTTAAAATGGAAACTACAAACACAGAGGTTTTTCAGATTTTTCGTTGCAGTGTTCTCTCCATATTTACAATTTGCTAAGAAGTATTTTCTACACAAGCAAGGTATTTGACTCTGGTCAAGCCTATCCAATAGGAGAAGACTAAAATGGTAAATGGTAAATGGACTGCATTTATATAGCGCTTTCACAGACCCAATGGCCACCAAAGCGCTTTACATTTTGCCTCACATTCACCCATTCACTCACTCATTCATACACCGAGTCATGAGACTATGAGTGGCCTTGGTTGGCTACATGCCCAGTAGCATCGATTTCAAAAATGTTTTCGCCTAGGCAGTTCTACCACATAGGCAAACAAACTTTATTGAAAGCCCATTTTGCCAGTGGTGAATTACCCCTTTATATCTTTTATTATGTAATTTCCCTCACTAAATTTAATGCACTCAATGCTAGAGAAAAAAGTGAATTATTGTTAGAAGCAAAACTTTGGGTGAAGGGCACCTTGTGAACAGCTGTTGAAGGCCCTGCTTTAACTGGCCTAATGCGAGACTCGTCCTCTCTGGTCGCCAACAGCATAGCAATGGAGACGAACGACTCGGGAGAAGGTGAAAAGGGGGCCATGGAAGAAAGCACAGCACTGCGTTCCTTGAAAGAAAAGAGATCATTTGCTCGGGGAAACAAATATTTCAATACATACTTGAAGGTTTGCAAAAAAGAAATCTTAGTACCTTTCCCCTCTCTCCCCAAGCAAAGGATTGTAGCGTGACATAAAAACGCTTGATAATCATTTGGCGCCGACACTCATAATCCTTACAGAGAGCTCTGTTGATGTCATCAATCTTTTTCTAAGAGTGAAAAAAATTATTGTGAAAATATTTGTTATGGAATAGAGTTCTCAAATAGGTCAAATGTAACTTTGTAATGCATACCCATTGCTCAGAGTTCAGACTGGTATTCAGTAACGCTTCTGGCAATTCACCTTCTGGGAGTGATGTCAGCCGTGACTCCACCTGAATGAATGAAGCTCGTATTATGTTTAAAAAAAATATATATATCTAGCGCACTCTTGAAAATAAATTTTCTTTTTTTGCATCTATGGTGCCATAAAGAACCTTTATCATCCATGGAACCTTTAAATTTCAAAAAAGTGGTATTTTTATAGTGGAAAAAGGTTCTTTAGGGATTATTCAAATGCTTTTCAAACTAGGGTAAGAAAAAAAATGGTTCTTTTAAAGTCACCATGAAATCAAAATGGACAATTCTTATTTTTATATGGAATATTGTTGTATTTATTAGATAGGATTTACCATGCACATCTTTTTTTTTTAAATTCATGTGCCCTCATAATATTTAATCAAAATAACTTCCACTCCCTCTTGTCTTCACTGATGATGCGTTTACTGGGGCGAGAACCTGTCACTCACATGACATCACAGCGATAGCAAACAACAACCATACAATCAATACCTGATGGACAAAATCAAGTCCTGCCCTACCTTTTTTTCTCGTTCGAATGTCATAATAGGGAAGAAAAGTCTTCACAACTTTCATTACATGCCAACTTAAAGAACTGAAATGTTCTTTGGGGATCCTAAAGGGTTAGGCCTAATTCACCCAAAAATGAAAATTCTGTCATTAATTACTCACCCTCACGTCATTCCAACCCCGTAAGTTTTTTTTTGATCTTAAGAACATTTATAAAGAGATTGTAAAACTATACCATGTGAATTGAGCGGTTTAGTCCAAATTTTCTAAAGAGACTCGATCGCTTTATATGATGAAATGATTTAATTTAGGTTTTATTCACATTTAAACATTGATCAGCGAATATAAACAGAGGCTCAGCCGAACGTGTTTGACACTCGAGAACAAACCTCATTGGTTCTTGCAGAAGCTCAAACCTACTGTGTAACACGAGAATGAACCTCATTGGTTCTCACGCATAAAATGAACATGCTTGAGCTTCCGTTTACCACAACTGATGTGTGAGTTGATGAATGTTTATGTGAATAAAAGCCTAAATTCTATCTGTTCATCATATAAAGTGATTGGACTTCAAAAATAATTGGACTAAACCGCTCAATTCATATGGTTTAGTTTTACAATCTCTTTATGAACTTTATAAATCATCAAAATGGTAGTTGCATAGCTAGTTAATGGAGGGACAGAAAGATCTCAGATATCATCAAAAAGTTCTTCTTTTGTGTTCCGAAGATGAACGAAAGTCTTACGGGTTTGGAACGACACGAGAGTGAGTGAGTAATTAATGACAGAATTTTAATTTTTTTAAGTGAACTATCCCTTTAAAAGGTTTCTTGTGAAAACCCCCATTTGGAACATATATTTTTAAGAGTGTACCAATTAATTACTAGACATTCAGTGATGATCTGTTTCCTACCTCTGTACAGGCATCACTCATCTGAGAAGCTGTTTCCAAGCCAAGAGTCTGGAACAGCTCTGCCAGACTCTTATTTACTTCTTGCCATTTAGTTTTATCCTCTTCCACTTGACTGGTTTCCTGATGCTCATCTTCATTGCCCATAGTAAGACTCTCCCGTTTTCTTTGCTCTTTGCCATTTGTCTCACAATTCTGATCTGCATCTTCTGGATGGCGCTCTCTGTACGTCAGCATACGGGCTGCCATCAACTCTGACACCAAATACTCTGTGAATTGAAAGATAATATGCACAGTAGTTCTTCACAGAAAATCTTAGAAATGCACAAATTGAGAACATCTATCACCACCTCCCTACCTTACCAGTCACTCTGAACAACAGAAGTGGGCAAAGGTGCTCTGATATAAGAGCATTTTGAGGACAGGACATCTCCTTCAGCATCTCCCTCAACTCACCGACCAGAACTGCACCACCAACTCTCCGTGCTGAAGCACAGATACATTTTATGCATAATACCAGCAACAACAACAACAACAAAAAAAGGATGGTTAAACACAGTAGTGCAAAATGTTGTCTAGGCAGGAAAACGTTTTAATTTTTAATCCCAGGCCTAGAATTAAAGCTAAATTTACATTATTATTAGATTTAAAAGTGCAGGTCTAATCATTTAAATAAGATACGTGCAAAACAAACTACTAAAAAACGAACATGGATGGAAAGCTTGGACTTGTCTGGGTTCGGTTATGTTACCTGGAGCATCGGGAAAACTTTCTCTTAGTTCTGAGACCAACCAGGTGAGCAAAGGGCAAGGCAATTCGTCACATTTGCATTTCTTCAAGCACTCTCTGCTCTTATACCTGTGCAATATAAAAATTAAACAGCTGTGATTGTTATTATTTTTTTATATCGCTGTTTATTTTTAGCGCTAATCACCCAAGAGCTTTAATTAAAGCGATTGCACCATTATCTCTCTCCATAGTGTACTTCCCTTTTACTGTCTATGGTACTTCCTTGTTCAGCATTGACGACTGTTGTTGTAAAACAAGGCAGTAGAAGTCGCTCTCTGCAGATATCCTATTGCTAGACAAAAATAATCGAATCGATCGATCGATCAAAACGGACTTTGGTTTTAAACCATAGACAGTAAAGTTCTAAACTTATCAACAAGATAAGAAACGTAGCAAAGATTGGTCTTGCTTATTAGACACACGCGGATCTATCGTGTTGATTCTTTTTTTTGCTCGCAAATAAATAAATAAATAAAACGTAAATATAAAAACAAATACAAGTAGAGAAGTCTCTTTTCGTAATAAACACAAATTATATGTATTAAATATTATAAATATTTAAAGTGCCATTTATTTTGGCACTTATCCCAGTTTATGGTTATTGTAACTGGGACAAAATATAATGTATTTAACTCAAAGTTGTTGTTTTTTATTTGAGCAAAATTTGATCTACATACATTTCTCCCATTTCTTTGTTCTCTGTGAATTACAAAAAGTACTTTAAAAATGTATTGAAGTCCCAGAATAAAAAGGCTAAGATTTAGCCCCAGAATAAAAAGGAAATGTGTTGTATTTGACACGTTTACATTGTTTTATATGAATGTGTGAACTGTAAAAAAGAAAGAAAAACATGAAACGGAAGTTTACGGACATGGCTGAGTATGACGAATATGATTGGCTAAACGGGCCTCAGACAGACAGCCGCATTAGCCAATCAGCTTCAGGGACAGAGCGCGCTCAGACTCTCGCGAGGCGGAGGAAGTGGGCTACCACGGTCACCCTCCATTTTTGATACAATCGTAACGAGAATTTGCTTGAGAGGGAAACTGACAGATAAAGGTAAATAATTGGTTTTCTGCAAATATGATTAAGTATTTATGTTCTGTTTGTGGCTTAAACTGGAATGTGGTGATTTTAGAGTATGCATGTGAGGCTGGTGGATTTTGCGCGCAAATTATTTGACTTCGTAGTTCGCTAGTTACCACGAATGCTAAGTGTGCGTTAAGTCAGTGGCCACGGTAAACCATGTTACTACATTGTTTTGACACTTAAACAAATGGATTTGGTATGTGCATGTTGTTGTTTTTAATGTAATAATGCCTAAATACTATATACAATTCAGTGAAATTCTATTTTAGCTGCAAAGACCTTTGCCTCTGTTAGCCAGTTAGCTTGCGCGGGCTAATATTTTAGCGATTGTGAAGATGATCCGCTGAGCGCGTACAGTAACCAATCAATGACTCGGGTTTGTTTACTCTGATCTACAGGCGCACAGTTTGGAATAAACTGCTGTAGGGTGCATGAACAATGAGCGGGCTTAATGTTAAAAAGCTCAAAGTCAATGAGCTGAAAGAAGAGCTCCAGCGACGAGGCCTGGACACTCGCGGGCTGAAGGCGGATCTGGCGGACAGATTGCAGGCGGCACTGGAGGCCGAGGCGGCTGGCGATGCTCCATCGGGCGAGCAGGAGCAGAACTTCGAGGCTGGCGGGGAGCCTGGAGAGGAGAATGATGATCAGGAGGAAGGTAATACTTGTTTGTATGTTAATGTTTTGACCTGGCTATGTTCCGAGGCAGTAATCCAGGCTGTTGTTGCAAATGGAGATGTGCTTCACTGTGAGATTAGGAGAGATTATTATTTATAAGGGACCGCCTGCCAGCGTGTATAACCACCATAGGGTTAAGCTGTAGGACATCCTTCTGTGAAATAAAGCAAGCACTGGTTGATATTTTTCAATTTAAAGGGAAGTGTTTTCATTTGTGGAAAATGACAGGGAATTTTACAGCTAGGTCTGGAAAAATCTTGTAGTAAATAATTATTAAATTCTTTTAGTAAGAACTTTTTAAAAGTCATGGATATGTAATGGGAATTTCTCTCTCTCTCTCTCTGTAATACACACACACACACACACATATATATATATATACATATATATACACATTAGTATTAACACTGTTATAAGTACACCTTAAACCTTCCTTTTTGTGAAATAGATTCTCTTAAAATAATTTAATAATACTTAAATTCCTTGAGTAATACTGAATGAATACAAAAGTGATGGTAATTAGTTGTTGAAGACATTAATGCAACAAAGAAAACCCTACAAATTTACATACAATTGTTATTTCCTAGCCTGAAAAAAGCTTTCTGTAAAAAAGACGGCCCATTAAAATACGGGGGTTTCGTTTCACAAATAACATGGAAACGTTTGGATTCGTGCCAAAGGAGGTAGGCTATGTGAGACCAACACCGTCTTGGTTTCAGTTTAGCTTTAAATTAATTTGTTTTGGCTCTTTTTATGTAGCTACTTATATTTTTTTATTCTTGTTCTGTTTTGAATACCATTCAATTTAAAGATTTTAATTTAAAAATGTAAGATTTGTTGCGGAGGGAGGGGAATTAAAACCGCCTATAAGCTATGTGTTTATAGTGTTTATAATGTTTGAAAACATTTACATTTATTTACCAGTATTTTACATTATTTCTGAATGTAATAATAATATGCAATTAACTAGGGTTTTTTTTTCTGTCAAAAACTAAATTTTATGTGTAGTGGTTTGTTTTTGTTTTACCATGCAGCAAACAATTTTAAAATATTGTTACAATTTACTTAAATTACTTTTTAATTTGCTTAACCGATGGTATTAAGAGTCCAAATTTCTGTCTGTTAACCAGTTAATTATGAGCATCCCTAACATATATTGTGGGCTTTTTTCTCTCTTTGTGAATACATTCTTTTTAAATAATCCATGAGTAATTCTAAATGACTTCAAGTCATGTAAATTAGTTTAAAGACATTAATGCGACAACATTTTATAATTCTGCTTAATTTCCGCACAGAAATTGCAGCCAGTGAGAAAGATTTTGGAGAAGAATCTAAGGCACAATTTGATGATGGCAACAGCACAGACCTCTACCAGGGTGGATTTGACGATCAGGGAAATGAGAGTAATGAAGGCAACGAGGACAGCCCCGAGACCCCCATACTTGCTTTGGGAACGAGTGATTATTCATCGGATGCGATGCCGGAACAAATGACAGAGCAGTACTCCTATGAGCAGGATGAAAACCAGGAGCCTGAGGCCAAGAAGCCGTGCCGTGAGGAAGCAGCCGGGAAGCAGTATAAGCAGCCGGAGGAGATGAAGCAGGAGTGTGAGGAGACTCCTTCTCCTGCAGAGCCAGAGGTGGAGCAGAAGTGTGACAAGCCAGCATCACGGCAGATCCCAGAGGGAGACTCAAGTCAACGCAGCCAGCAGGAAGAGTCAGGTTAGTCTTGTCAAGTTTAGAAACCACAAGGGGTGAAATCTCTAATAATAGTTGTTATATTACAAAAACATTTTTTTTTAGCACATTATTAAAGAAATAGTTTGCACAAAAATGAAAATGTCCTGATTATTTACTCACCCCCAGGCCATCCAAGATGTATATGACTTCCTTTCTTCAGCGGTACAGAAATTAAGGTTTTTGAGGAAATCTAATCTAATCTCCATCTAATGCAAGTGAATGGGGATCACCATTGTCCATTTTTAACAGTCCAAAATTCATTTTTAGGTAGATTTAATTAAGTTACGTTGGCACATCAGGAAGGTCACGCTTGATATAGGCTGGGGTCGTGTGAATGGAGAAAAATCCTGAAATGTTTTGCTCAAAACCCTTAATTTCTCCTCTGCTGAAGAAAGAAAGTCATATACGTTTTGTATGGCCTTGAGGTGAGTAAATAATCAGGAAATGTAAATTTTTTGGGTGAACTATTCCTTTAACTCAGTGGTTCTCAACTACATTCCTGAAGGACCCTCAACACTGCACATTTTGCAGGTCTCCTCAATCAAACACACCTGTTTCAGTTCATCAGCTCATTAGTATTGACTCTACTGCTTTAACTTTCCACACACAGTCCCACTTGATCATGATTATATGGGCTAGTTTAATGTATTTAAAGGAAGTCATTGCCATTCGTGCCACCTTCCTATGCAAATAAGGGTTCATTGTACAATGCACATAATTCTTAACAGTCAGAAGTTAACATTAAATGTGGTCTTAGCATTTTTATTTGATGTAGCTTATGATATATTAATTTATCCCAATCTTTTAGAGAGTTTCGAGGTGAAGCCCGAGGATAAGGCCGACGAGGACGTACCACAGCAGGCTGAGCAGGCTGGTGACTGGGATGCTCAGCCTAAATCAGAGGATGATAGATACTCGTCATACAGTCGCAAGAGGTCATATGATGATAGTCGAGGATACGGTTACTATGAGCATCGTGAGGAAAGGAGGTAAGTTATGCCTCCTTGGATTTACTTCGATATTTTGTATTGCTCATTCTCAGAGTTCTCTTCGGTTGTTGTAGGGGACGATCACCACAGCCACCAGCTGAAGAAGAGGAGGAAGACATTGATGATAAACTTGTGGTTATTGACACCTGTGAGTGCTGTATTTTCATTAGGGATACCCAATACTGAGCTCATTTATTCATTCTCATTAAAATTCTCCACACAGCGTCTGCACAGTGCTTGTGTCCACACAAGGAAACATAGACAGCAGAATGGAGATATTCAAGATTAAATCTGTATCTATGACATAAATGTATCTAATTAATGCAATATTAAACATAAATTCAGTATTTACGTTTGTATAGCTGCGGCATTTAAACTAAAACACAATAGTATATAAGTGAAAACATTAACTGTTGCATGACTTATCTATAACCATAGGTTCCATATTTTATTGCAGGAAAAGGTCATGTGATTGCTTTACTGCTGCACTGGAGCAGCTCTAAATGTGCGCTCTGATATTTAATGAAAGAATGATAAAAGAAACGGCTTCTCGTAGGCTTCTACGATACATTTTAAGAGGCATAATTAAGCATGAAAATTACTATAGGAAATATCGTTTACACTTTATTTTAAGGTGTCCTTGTTCCAGTGTAATTATACATTTAAGAACTGAGTAATATTGAATGAGAATATGTACTTACTAATGGGTTAAGGTTACAATTATGGTTTGGTTCATGTTTTTTTGCCAACTAATAGGATTCAAATTCTTTTGGTTTCTCTA